ATTTCAAGTCTTATGACAGAGCTGGGGCAATCAAGATGGCACAGGCTCATAGATTGGGGAGTTTAAGGGGTCCAGTAATAAACATGCATTGGAAATTAACTGAGTGACTGATTTCTGACAGATTTCTCACCATTCAATGGAGAAAAGGACAAACTTCACAGCCACAGTGCTGGAGCAATGGGATGTAAATTTGTAAAAAGTTGAGCTTAGATCCTTTCTTACCCTCTATGAGAAAAATAACTCAAAATAGATCATAGACCAAAAGGTAAGCCTGAAATTATAAAACTGCTAGAGGAAAAAAATCTTGATTACTTTAGTTAAGGGAAGATTTCTTAGTCATCACCCTTCAGTTAGGAGAAATTTTTCTTGGTTGTAAAGCAAGATCCTTTAAAAAAAAAAAAGTTGATAAATTGAATTTCACAAAGCTAAAACTTAAGTTCTTAACTAAAAGCTTTTAGTTTTTAGTTACTGCTAAAAGTATATAAAGACAAAACAAAGACTGAAAGAAAATATTTTCAGAGCAGATATCTGATAAAGGATTTGCCTAAGGAATACATAATAATGCTCAAAACTAAATGAGAAAACAATCCAACTTTTCAAAAGGGCAAACACCTCACCAAAGAAAGCATACATACAACTGGTAAATATCACATGAAGGATGCTCAGCCTCAATACCCCATTTCAGTGGGGAAATGCAAGTGGAAACCACAGGACAAGAGATTCACACACCATGTTCTGGTGAAGGTATAGAAAACTGGAACTCTCAACGCTGCTTGTGGGAACATGAAACAGTAACTTGGAAGACAATGTGGCTGTTTATCAAACAGCTAAGCCAATTTAATAAACTGTCACACTGTTTACACAGCTACCATATGATCCAGCCATTGCACAGTATATATCCATACAAAGACTTTTATACGAACGTTCATGGTAACTTTGTTTGTAATGGCCCAAAGCTGAAAACAACCCCCAATATCCAACAACAGGTGAGTGGCTAAGCCAAATTACAGCATACCCACACAATGGAATGTTGCTCAGCAGTAAAACAGAATGAACTAATGATATACACAACATGCACGAATCGCACGATAATTATGCTACGTGAACAAAGCCAGACACAAAAAAGTATACACCGTACCCTCAATATAAGCAGAAACCACTTTTGTGCCAGGATAAGGGGGCTGACAGAGAGGGACAGGAGGTAGGGATTTCCAAGGGGCAGAAGAAAGCATTCATGAGTGATGAATGTGTTCATTCGTATTAATGGTAGTGATAGTTGCACAGATGTATGCATATGTACAAACTTTGCAAATTATACACTTTAAATATGCACGGTTTATTGTAGGTCAATTATATCTTAAGAAAATCTGTTTAAAAAATAATAAGATGAGATGGCCTATTTGAGGCTGCCCTTTGGCCAATCTGAATTTTGGCCTCATTGCAAAAATTTCTTGAACAGCATTTAGGAACAGACTGACACTGTTAAGCTTAATGCCCTGTGAAATAGTCTAAACTAATTGTTTCAAAGGCCTGTGGCAGCAGTTTTCTGAGATTATATCAGATCACATGCTTTTTTTCTTTATGTAAACATAAGCTGACGTTGTCACTGGACGCCAAACAATGCTCCTACTGCAGTGATCTCAGCCATTCCAGAATGACAGCTGGATGTGTTATTTCACCAAAGAGGACTGAGAACAACGCCCTGAGTTCCCTGGGTTGGTATTTCACCTATTCCTTTACAGTGTGGCTTCTGCAGGAAAGTGTTCAACAGAGAAGGCAGATTTGAATCATTTGTGGATTGGCTGGTGTGTGTGCACTTGTGAGCGAGAAAGATGGACATAGAAAATGAATGAGATGGAGGGACATACAAAGAGACCCCAAGTCAAGGGGCAATTAATAAACGTATTTCGCTTCTGGAACTTTCTGCCTTTAATCCAGTCATTTCTTCATTACAGGAAAAAAAAATATGTGGGTGCTATTGCCTGACTTTTAAATAGCTCCCTCTCCTACATTTTGCAGTCCTACCTCAGGAATCCATGGAGTCTACCAGTCAATTTCTTAGCTTTTGTTGAGAGAACAAGCACACCCAAAAATGTGCACTCTTCTGCATTTAAACAAAAATCCCTCCAATCACAGTGCAAATGATTCCTTTTATATGCTTCTTAACATAAATTATCAGCAACCTATATTACTCCCTTTCTCACACTCAACAATTCCATCTCACACTGGGTCTCCCTATACTATATCAGTGCTGCGTACATTCAGTCCATTCTAGCGATAACCTGGATTTGACTAAAGCAACGAAGGTGGTCCAGCATTATGATTTACCTACTATTTTTAAAGGATGTTTTTATATATACTCATGTCTTTTTAAAATATTCCTTCACTTCTTTGAATAGAGAAACAGAATCCCTTGATAAAGGTAGAAGAACATAATTCTTAAAAAAAAAAAAAAAAAAGAAAGAAATACAATGAACACTACAGCCATAGGTAAATGCCTGCAGAATTTTCTGTAGAAGTCCTAGGTCTAGGCACAGTTCTTTCTGGAGGCTGGTGTGTCTAACTAAGACATGTCTAGCACTTGCTGATTATCCCTTTTGACAACTGGTATTTCCTTCTTGGCTAGTGAGTTGGGCTAAATGAAAGTTAAGAGGAAATGACTGGTTACCTGTTATCATGTGCACCTCCTGTAATGATCTCATGTCATGAGAGTTCCTGCCCTCCAGGATCTCACAGAGTCTGTCACCTGAGACATGAGGCCAAGATGGGTTCAGGGTTCACATAAAAGTCTGACCTACTCTGATGCCTTGAGAGGAAGCATCAAGGCAGGGTGCTCATATGCAAACTAGAAACAGGTGCTCACTCTGGGCAGATGAGCCTTGTCTTGAACATGGCATAGAGAGAGAACAGTGCTTATTTTGATTATTTGACAAAGTCCTTCCTTTCTCCAGGCCAACAGAGCCTTCTGCCAGGCAGCACATGAGTTGGATTTTGGCCCCACTTAACCCATTGGCTCAGTGCCCTTGTGCACAAATACCCGTAGGGGTTTGCCAAGCATGACCTAAGCTTCAGCAATTCCACTAGTTACTATTAAATTCATAATTCAGTGACAATTTTTAGGGCTACTTGTGGTGTCCCTTCCCCACCAATCCTAATTCCTTTTCATTTCCAGCTTTTGGGCTGTGTAGTCTCTCAACAGTACTTCTATGGAGATCCACAGGGGAATGAGTATACTGAAGAAAAGAGAGACCTTAGCAGATCCCTTGAGAATTCCAGATGTGCTCTGGCTTTGGTTCATCTCTTCCTGCCCTTGAAAGGCTGCATGAAAGGCTGGCCCTGATGGAGAGTCCCCTGTGCAAAGATGGCTAGGTTACTGACAGTTGCATTGACTGAATAATTAGCCAAATTTGAGATGTACATCTTTTGCCAATGGCAAGCTAATGAACATGAAGTCAAGGTAAGTTATTGAAAGCAGCAGAATAACAACAGGTCTATTGTTTAAGTAAATGACTTCTGACTGTCTGAAGACCCACAGCTCTGCCCTGCAAAATCAGAACACCCACCAGGGTTTGTTCAAACAACAACAGTGTGGATTTTAAATGCCACAGAGAGCTGGGCAGCAGGAGGGCTCAGGAGCAGTATTAGCACAGAGAGGAAGCAGATTTTTATTTGTTTTGCTTCTTCCATTCTGAATGCTGGGTAACTCCCAACCCAGCCTGCATGATCATTTGTAAGAGGATTCTAAGACTTTTAGTAAGTTCAAAGAAGAATTCATTTAACCTTCTACAATAACTCACATAATGCTATCATCTGAAAACATTCATAGTAATAAGACAGACTTGGTTCACAAACACCAGTGGGAGTTGAGGCAGGGGATGAAGAGGAACTAAATTTGTCGGGGAATAAGGTACATTGACCGTATACTCTTGGATGGGAAATCTCCTAAAAGGTCCTCTAGCCCAGTTGTAGCACCCACTGCCCATGGGTGACGTGGCAGGGAGACATAGGGGAAAAAGCAAGGGTTCCCCATGCCCAACCCCTACCTACTAAAGGTCAATGTCCCATCCACAGCAGCAGACCAGCCCTCTGCCTACAATTCTGGCCATTGTTCTCTTAAGGCCAAAGGATATCAACCTGAGACCTGCATTTAGAAGACCCATAGAGCTGCTTTGGAATAGTAATTTCGAAAGAAGAGAGAAAAAAAAGTCATCAAAGCCAAAAGCAAATTGGCCTCAGCCCATGAGTCAATGTCAACTGATTAGCAGTGACTGATTTGACCCCTGAGTTGAGAAGGATGCTGGACCCAGACCCAGGCCCAAAGGAAATGATGACAACTTTAAAATACAATTCAGCCCAGTTTAGACTGTGATGTACTCCACCGCAGCATATCCCTCCCCGCAGCTTCCAACAGACGTTAATAATCAATCTTTCCCTAACAAGAAGTTGATTTTTAAAAAAATGTTCTCTTTAGAACAAAAATGTGAAACTGAACATAAAAAGGACAAATTGCTCACATAGCTCTGAGACAGGGGTATGACCACTCCTGAACACATTTCTATGTAAGGCCTGCATGAATCTAGGGAAATTACTTCTGGTGAAGCCTCTGGCCCCCTGTTTATTAAATATCACTCTGCTGTGCCAATAAGCTTACAAGCAACCTAACACTAACACAGGACAATCAGGTGTAGTCTCATCTTAAGTACTAGTTCCTCTTTTAATTTGGGGGGAAAATAGGTTTTAAAAGTCTCTGGGTTTAAGACTGTCATGAATATCAGCCCACCATAAAAGAAACCACTTGATCCTACACCATGCATTTCCCTTGATGCTACTCACAGAGCTCTGAGGAGACCTTAGATGGACCTGATGACACCCTGATCATTAGGAATCACTTTAACACCCAAGAAATATAGCAATTGACACTCTTAGGAGTTCTCCTGGGTTCCAAGTTAGAGGGATCTTAGAATACTAATTGCCTCCTGCCAGCCCTGCTGTGATCCTACCTTAGGCAGTTCAGAGACCCACAGTGTTCTGCAAGAATAGATGGAAGAGAAGTGCTTCTGTTTCTTCTGAAGGGACTAATTTGCCCTCCCCAGTCCAAAGGGGTCACAACAGCAAAGCTTTTTTTTTTTTTTTTTCCTTGTGGATTTCCCTAAGTATAGGCAGAGGATCTTGAAAAGTCTCAGCTCATAACCAGTTGCATGCGGAGGGTGTTAATGGTCAATGGACATCAGGAAACATTTACTTAAGCAATTGTTTTGGCAGCCAGTCAAGAATGCAGGAGGCCTTCTGAGCTACTGATCATTGCTGTGACAGTTCAATATGTGGGAAAGGCATTCCAGCCTTGTGAAAGTGCAGGACGTGCCCTACATCACAGTCCTGTCATCTCACATTTGTCCTAAACTTCCGCAGTAAAGCAGTATGATTAAAAAAAAGAAAAAATATATAGCCATACATAAAATATAAAACAACTTTCCAATGTCAGTGGATGAGCTTAACTTTCAGAAGCAATGTGAAAAATCAAACCCCATTTTTGGTCATGTTCTATACAACTCACACAAGGAAAACAGATTTCAAAAACACAGCTCAATGTCAGTCTAATAATATAAAAGTTAGAGCGACTTCAGAAAATTAAAGTTTTAGGGGTTCATAATGGAATCCAGGATGTACAAACATTGGTACTTACAAGGATGTGCTAAAATCATTCAGGGAGAGCATGGGGCTAGGATTTGCAGCTTCTTGGATTTTCCACCTCAAAAAGCAAACAAAAGACAAAATTATAACAAGTAAGAATTTGCAATGTCTATTTGCAAAATCTTTAAAAGATACCACCTCAAAATAATCAGAAATGTAATATTCAACTCCTGATTAAATACATTTTTTTTCTGTGCACTAAAAATCACTTGGAGACATGATGGAATGACCAAATAGCTCAAAAAACCCTGCTGATGCTTAAATTTAAGCCCACTTGCACTTCCAACTGATGGATCAACAGACATTGACTTTTCTCAATGTTGGTAAAGCAATTTAATTTACATAAGAGGCTGTTTATATTGCCTACTCTATAATTTTGTATGTGTCTCTGGTGATACCTGATCCAAGAATGCTACCTTCTTTCATTATTGTTATTTACTGTCACATCTACTCTACCTTCTGGAAGAAGGTACAAGGATCCTAACACAGATGAACTTGTCACTGCTCTGGGAATGACAAGCTTAATTACTGTCCACCTGAGATCTTTACGGCCAGGCAGTCCCCAATGGAAGTGACTCTCTTTGGGTTGCCAGTTCAGAGAATAAAAACATGGGATGCTCAGGAAAAAAATATGGAATTTCGTATAAACAGCAGATACTTCTTTGTAAGTTTAATTGGATGTTCTTTCTTTTGCCTGACAACCCAGGGTATTTCTGTATATGATGTGCACAAACGGATGTCCCTTTCTAACATCCTACTGAAAATATTGCAGGGGGGCAGACACAAAGTCCAAGAAGAGTGCCTCCATCTGCACCTGTTCCTTGAAGGTCTCATACTTGAAGAATTTTTGAAGCAGCCTTGCCCTGCACTTGCAGTTGGAGAGGTTTCCTTGTGGGGAGGGGGGTGTTGAGGTAGAGCAGAAGACAGCAGTGCATAGTGTCCACAAGACTTTCATGACTGACCTTTCCAGTAATGCACAGTTCCCATAACACTATCATCATCATCATTATCATCATTCATATGTTGCTACTTTTGAGCAACTGTTTACTTGCAAGAAACTGAAACTGGCAAGCATGATTGGTTGAATCCCAATTGAAGATGGAGATTGGCTCCATGTTTTGAGATCTGACTCAAAAATACTCCTATGAAAACAACTGGAGTTTTAAAGCTTCTATTGACACTTTTTAAAAAAATTTAAGGTTTTCCCCTTGGACCAGGAGAAAACATCTGATCTTTCATCTCTTTCACCTTCAGCACTAAAACATTCAGTTTGCTTCCTTCTCTCGATGGGACTTTTACCCGCCTCCACCAAAGAACCTCTCAATCAACAACTTGCTATCCTTTTCCACCTGCAGAAAATCCAAGGAAAAAAGAAAAGAAAAAGAAAAAAAAAAAAAAACTAAGAGGGGGAAAATAAAAATCAACCACCCAGGGATACAGAGAGGTTTAATTATTGCCTGGAAAGCAACACCCTTTCACAACATCTTTAGGACTGATTTTCATAATTACATACTGATTGAAACTGGGACTTGCAAAAGGGTAAACTCATTTCCATATTAATATTAACTAATGATTAACATGACTCAGGACCCAAGTTCAGGATCGGAAAGCATGGGCTAGGTGGAAATTAAAGAAATTAAACCCATCAGTGTAATTTGCTACCTGTTCTCTCAAATGATTTTTCATTCATTAACTAGCAAATGAACTTCCACTGGCTTTAGGGTAACTCACAAAAACAGGAATTCAGGCAGCTACCAGGGGGCCATGACAAACAAGACCTCTTCAGACTCACGGACTCCTTCCTCCCCTTTCTCCTCTCTCTGAGGCTCTCCTGCTTCTTTTACTGCTTTTATTTGTATTTTTATTTTTTTTTTGGCCCATTCTCTCTCTCTCTCCCTCCCTCCCTCCCTCATTCCCTCACTCTCTTCTGTCTCTGTCTCAGCATCTGCAAGTATGTCTCTGTATCTGTGTCTTTGTGTGTCTCAGTCCTGTCTCGTTCCCTCTCTCACCTTTCTCTTTCTTTACAACCAGCTCACCTCTCACCTTCTAGTCACACCTGCCTGCCTACCTTCACCTGTTTCAGAGCTCTTGCTCCGTCCTCTGCTCCCTCACATGACCTCATCCATTGCTGTGCCTCTCTCCCACCCCACAGAATCCAATGGCTTCAGCACCAAACACAGAGCAATAATTAACCAAACTAGCTAAGAGTCAATAATTTTTTTTTTTTTTTTGGTTCAGCCCAAGTGCATACAAATCATTAAGCATGGCTGTGCTTAACCAAGCTCCCATTTAGAAGGCGGGGAAAAAAAACAGCTAAACTCATGCAATAATTTTCACTGGGAATCAAATGGCTTCAGTTATACTCATCTATAGGAAAGTGTCACATTGTACTGAACACTACCCTTTTAAAAGGAAAACTGCCCTTTCAACTTTCACCTTTATCTTAATAAATCAGCTACGATTTTCAAGCCATACCCCTTTTTAAAAATTTTTAAATTTATTTTTTGTGCAATATACATAGTAGTGGTGTTCATTCCAGCATATTCATAAATGGCTATAACATGGGGTCTTCTCCATTTTAATTTCCAGTACTACTTTCTTCCCTTCACTCCTCCCTCCCCCTGATCCCCTCTTCTACTCTAATGGTCTTCCTTCTATTATTTATTTTTTAATTGATGCATTATATTTATATATAATTAGAATGCATTTTCATATATTCAATAAAAATAATAACTCAATCAATAAATGGACTTCATTCCCCAGTCCTTCCCTTTTCCCTTCCTTCCTTCTTCCCCTTTCTTCCTCACTTCTACTCTGCAGATCTATTTTTATGAATTCCCTTTTTTTTTTTTTTTTTAATTTTTTAGTTGTTGTCAGCCTTTATTTTATTTAATTTATTTTATATGTGGTGCTGAGAATCAAACCCAGTGCCTCACACATGCTAGGCAAGTGCTCTACCACTGAGCCACAACCCCAGCCCCGAAATCCTCTTATTTCTTTTTTAATTCTTTTTTTCTCTTTAGCTTCCACATATGAGAGAAAACATTTGACCCTTGGCTCTCTGAGTCTAGCTTATTTTACTTATCATCCAAGCTGTATTCCTCTAAAATAAAAATTCTTAGAAGATTTTAAAAATCACATAAGCTATCAACTCAAAGTGGATCCAAGTGGTCTCTAGGGCATTAGACTAGAGACCCTGCACCTACTAGAAGAAAACATAGGCCCAATCTCCATTATGTCAGTTAGGAATCAAATTCCTCAACAAGACTCTGAAAGCTCAAGAAGTAAAATCAAGGATCAATAAATGGGATGGTATCAAACTAAAAAGCTTCTTCACAGCAAAGGAAACAATGAAGAACATGAACAGAGAGCCCAGAGAATGGAAGAAAATCTTTACCACCTGCACCTCAGATAGAGCATTAATCTCCAGGGTATACAAAGAACTCAAGAAAAACTTAACACCAATAATAATAATAATAACAATAACCCAATCAATAAATGCGCAAAGTAACTGAACAGGTATTTCACAGAAGAATAAATATGAATGATCGACAAAAATATCAAAAAAAGTTCAACATCTTTAGCAATTAGAGAAATGCAAATTAAAATGACACTTATATTCCATCTTACTCCAGTTAGAATGGCAATTATCAAGAATACAAGGCTGGGGATATACCTCTGCCGGTAGAATGCTTGCCTTGCATACACAAGGCCCTAGGTTTAATCCCTAGCACCATTAAATAAATAAATATAAATATTTATAGAGAGAGTAACAATAAATGTTGGTGAGGATGTGAGGAAAAGATTCACTCATAAATTGCTGGTGGGACTGTAAATTGGTGCAACCACTCTGGAAAGCAGTACAGAGATTTCTCAGAAAACTTGGAGTGGAACCACCATTTGACCCAGTTATCCTACTCCTACTATTTACCCAAAGGACATAAAACCATCATACTACAATGATACATCTACATCAATGTTTATGTAGCTAAATACAGCTCAATTCACAATAGCCAAACTGTGAAACCAACCTAAGTGCCCTTCAACAGAATGGATAAAGAAAATATGGCATACATACACAATGGAATATTACTCAGCCATAAAGAAGAATGAAATTATGGCATTTGCCAGTAAATGGATGGAACTGGAGACTATCATGCTAAGTGAAATAAGCCAATCCCACAGAACCAAAGGCTGAATGTTCTCTCTGATATGTGGATACTGACACACAATAAGGGGAAGGAGAACAAAAGTTTATTGGATTAGACAAAGGGGAATGAAAGGAAGGGAGAGGATGAGAATAAGAAAGACAGTAGGGATCACAGGGGAGGGAAGATGGGGATCACAGGGGAGGGAAGATGGCGGCGAGGGGAGTGCATTACCCCCGTGTGCTGCTTCACTGTGTGGGAGTATGACAAGTCAGGACGGCTAAAGGATATCTTGTTAGGAATTTCCAGCAATAGTGGGGTGCGCCGGAACCTGGAGGAAGGATTTCCATCGCATGAGGATCGGCTACGGGGACTCAAACGCGAGAGGTTTGTCGCACGGAGGGTAACACTGCTTATTCAGCAAATCGCCCCGCGGCTAGAGTCTGCAAGGCGCGCTGGGATAGAGACGCAGGGTTACAGCGCTGCAGCTTCTGCCAGACGCGCAAGCACCGCACTCAGGGCTGAATTCTGGGTTCGAGACGGGGAAGGAAGCGGTCCATCTCGGTTCTCCACACCGGTCAGACCACAGAGGAGGCCAGCAGCCACCATGTTGGTAAACTGACGTCACCACACCTGTTTTTGACTGACCGCAGCTCATTCAGCCATAGAACAGGTAATTTCAGGCTGCAATTCGCCTGCGGCTTGCAGACAGATTGCTAGGGTTCAGCGCCTGGGGGCTTCTTAAAATCTGATCTTATCGGAGT